CAACAAATCACCCCCAAATGTAACGGGCGACAACAGCATCGTCTCACGGGTTCTGTGGTCAGGAATTGCAAGCAGCTGCAGATAGCCCGTTTCCTCTTTCGGAAGCAATCCACCGCTAAGCTCACCAGGTGGTTGTCGCCAAGATTCACTTCTCTGGGGGCTGGTGGCGGGGACCACCTTCAGGTCCCGGCCACACGGGCGTCTCTGAAGGCAGCTGGCTTCATCGGGAGAAGCATGAGGCGCCGGATTGAGGTGCAGAGAAGATAGAAGTCACTGTCTTTTTGTAATCTGGTGTCAGAAGGGACAGTCCATCACTTTTGCTGAACTCCATCCCCTAAAATACATCCCTACATCCAGCCCACGGTCAAGGAGAGGGGGTTACTCAAGGGGCTGAACACCAGGAGGCAGGGATAATTAGGTCCCACCTCAGAATGACTTCCTCCAGCCTCCTCAGCCCCTGCGGTCACTGGTCACTGCTCCCTCTGTCTGGAAGGCTCTCCCCCCAGATCTCTGTGTGGCTCTCCCCCCAGATCTCTGTGTGGCTTCCTCCCTCCTCTCCCTCAAACCTTCCGTAAAGCTCCTTTCATCGATTTAAACTGCAATACTCCCGGGGCACCTGGGTGGCTCTGTTGGTTAAGCATCTCACTCTTTTAAAAAAAAAAAATTTTTTTTTAATGTTTTATTTATTTTTGAGGTAGAAAGAGACAGAGCATGAGCAGGGGTGGGGCAGAGAGAAAGGGAGACACAGAATCCGAAGCAGGCTCCAGGCTCTGAGCTATCAGCACAGAGCCCAACGCGGAGCTCAAACTCACGGAGTGTGAGATCATGACCTGGGCTGAAGTCGGACGCCTAACCAACTGAACCACCCAGGCGCCCCAAGCATCTCACTCTTGATCAGCATCAGGTTGATCTCATGGTTCCTGGGTTTGAGCCCCATGTCGGGCTCCACACTGCCAGTGTGGAGCCCACTTGGTATTCTCCCTTTCCCTCTCTCTCTGCCCCTCCCATGCTGTCTCTCTCTTTCTCTCTCTCAAAAATAAGTTACAAAATAAAACTTAAATTGTAACACTCCCTGGATAGGCTGAAAAATGGTCTGCAAAGACCTCCGAGCCCTTGATCTCTGGGTTCAACACACTTTGCAAGTGTGATGAAGTTAAGGCGCTTGAGATACCGAGGTGTGCCCCAAGGATAATCACAAATGTCCTTACAAGAAGGAGATCCAACAGCAGGACAGAAACAGAGACAACGTAACACAGAATGTAGGCTACACTGCAGGAGGAAAGGGGCAGAGCCAAAGAAAACAAGGAACACAGCTCCAGAAGCTGAAAGAGGCAAGGAAACGGATTCTCCCACAGAGCCTCAGGGAACGCAGCCCTGCCAATGGTTGATTTCAGTCGGTGAAACTGATTTTTGTTTGGGCTTCCCACCTTCAGAACTGTAATAAATGTGTGTTGTTTTAAGCCACTGAGTTGTTGCAGGCAGCCACAGGAAATGAATATATCACTCAAGCAGGTGCAATATATCCGCCTCTCCTGATTCAGTTTTTTTCCATAATGGTGATCAGTGTCTGAGATATTTTTCTGCTTAGTATTCTATTTATTGTCTGTCTCTTCCACTAGAATATCGGCTCTAATATCACGGTCATTTTGTAACTGTTTATTATGGGCAACTTCAA